AGGAAGACATTCACCTCTCCGATTACAACACGGAACATCATCTTAAAACTTCTTAGAAGCTCTATAAAGAGATTTATACTTGCAATCAACGTATGTTATGGTTTCTCTCTGTGCCGAAACATTCCTGTACGGCCCTGTCTGGCCGCGTGAGCTGAGTCCTTTGGGTGTGAGGAAGCGTCACGTGGGCTGCTTGGCGCGCGTGTTGAACGGAGGTTTACAGTCTTTGTTGTAACATTTCCAAAGGGAAATAGTTCGGCTAAGTTCGTTTCACTTCGTGGAAGTGAACTGAGTCGGCTACGGAAAACAAAACTTTGACTAACAAAAAGGGAATAAAGATCTCTACGGGGAAATCACGCGGAGTTAACGTTGCATCTTTCCATGGCTTTTGAAGAAGCGTGTGTGTCTCTCGGTCCGGCGCGTCACGTGGTCACGTGCGCGTGTTTCTCCTTCAAAGAGAGCGCGCGCTCGTTTAAAGGTCCCTTGTAGATGGATTTGCTGAAGAGATATGTCACGGGGTTTCCTTTTCAATCGTCGATTGGAATTAAACACAGAGACTTATCTACAAATGAAAAACACAACTAAACTAGAAACAAATAAAAGAAAGGCGAAGAGCTCGCCCGGAGGCGAGACGTTACATCATGACACGGGAGGAAGAGAGCGAGCGCAGGGGAGAAGCGTCATTTATCACACTATGAGAAATCCAGCCTCTTCCTGTTGGCTTGGCCAATTAGAGGGTTGGAAGTTTACAGGCGGGACTTTGGGTTTTATTTCTCTTTGTCTTGTCAGACTGCTTGTCTAATTAAATTATGACCTGTGTTAGGAAGGGTCATTTCTACTGCAGAGATGTGTTATGCACATAATCATACCTTTTACGGTGTGTTCATACATATATCTGGCTGAGTCAAGTCAAGGGCATTTTTACGATATCAAACACGACTGTTATAGGTAAACATTTACATTAAAAATACACCTAGGGTATTTATAATTCACTTTTAAGTTACGGACAAATTATAGTCATTACAATGTGACATGGGCAAATGGACACACATAAAAACACATCGAATATATCGGGTTAAATGTCTTTTAAAGAAAAGAAGTTTCTTTCTCTTTGAACATCAAATTCCAAGTCAGTCATACAAGTGTCTCGTAACAGGAAACCACGCTCTGTCCTGAGTGTGGGTGTCAGCTGTGGGGGAGGTGTGTGTGTGTGTGTGTGTTTGTGTGTGTTTTTTCAAGTTCCAGGCCTTTTGGGGCTAAAGGCTTTGGGATTTTAGCACGAAGGTATTTAGTTATTCAGATTCACCCTGGCCCAGTCCTTACAGTTCATTCACAGTACATTAACTAAGTTAATAAAAGATAAAATAAGAATTAAAACTCAATTTCAAATGCATTAGTAAATGTTGAAATTAACAAACTACCGTAACAATGAATAATTCTTCTACAACTTGTATTAACCTTATTTAATGCTAAAAATGCAATGTTATTGTAAAGTGTTACCCTTTCATATGATTCCAAAGAGTCGTGCTTAAAGATGGCCATTAAAATGTAATAAAGACCTGTATTATGTATACGTAATATAGCCTATAGTCTCTCACTTTATTTGCTTCTATATTTTAGAACACTTGATGATTATCTAATCAAAATAACAAGATCTATTGTAGTGATTAAAAAGATCTTAAATCGAACGCGTTTCTGATTAGTTTAGTTTATCAATGTTGAGAAAGCAATCACGTCACTAGTTTTAAATATGCAACTTCGTCGGCTAATGAATGCATAAAAATTACCAGCCGGATAAAAATAATGCAAATAGATGGTAACAATTGCGCCATAAAACATTTGGGTCAGGTCTGCGTGTGTTTTTGTCACATTGCATTAACGGTTGACTGAGGTAATGTTAGAGTCCTCACAGCCTCGACGGCAAACTACTGTTCTTTCTCTGCTGATGCAGCATCTAGTCAACAAATGAATTAATTTGTAATGATATGGCAATATGTAGCTACTTTAGTGTTATGTATTCATACCGTTTCGCTGTCGGTGTTTTAAATGTCAGCGCTCTCACTGCGTGTTCTCTCCGTGCTGCGCGCTGCCTCACGTGTTAACGTAAACAACTCAGCCAGTGATAGTCTGTTATTTGTCCTCTAGAGGCCGCTCTCACTCTGTATAATGCCAGCAGTCTCTTCTGTTCTGAGCGCTCTCGTGCTGTGTAATGACCGCGCGCACTTCTCAGCCGCTCAAGCAACGGACGCAACCCGGAAAAACTATCGGTGTGGATTTTTGCCGATAACGATAGTTCCACCAAACAACTATCGGTGCCGATTAATCGGCAAAACCGATGAATCGGTCGACCTCTAATATCTATTCATGTCAACTGCTTTCTCTGGGTCAGCGGCAGTGCCAACGCAGATTTTAATGTTCGCTGTGATCGTACTTGTAAAAGGTTTAATAGTCATAGCCGAATTTCTCTGTCATTTAGTAATAAGATTGTGTGGGTGTTTGTATTGAGATTGCAATTTTTTAAAGTGCCCCTATTATGGATTTTTGAAAATGACCTTTCATGTAGTGTAACCTAGCTCTAAGTGAATGAAAACATACGGCAAAGTTTTCTTCTGAAAGTGCTCTGTAAGTTATTGTCTTTCAAAATTAAAGAGTCGACTCTGAGTCAATAAAATGAATCGTTTTTCAAACGAGTCATAAGCCGTTTCATTGTGACGTCAAGACGAAACATTAGCATATTGTCCGCCCACTTATTGCGCGCACAGACACCAGGGAAAATAAATTAGAAAAATACTCTGTAAATAAGTACAAGTAAAATAATCGTTTGTTGAGGGACATGCACTTGTTAATGCTGATTAGATGGTGAGGAATTAGAGTTGCAACATCTCATAATGTCCCTCAAACTGAGTAGCGTATCACTGAGGAACGTCCTGCTCGAGTCGTCCTTACGATGGAGGTTCTTTCTAGGGTTGGGCCGATGGACGATATCATCGTCCATCGTGATGGCTGACAGACATGAGAACATCAGACAAAAGATGTTTGTGATATAGCGTGATATAGCCTATGACAAGCGCTGAGCGCGTCCGTCTTTGGCTCAGCGCCAGCCATAGCGCGAAAGCACGCAGTTTGAATCTGGCAGTTATGTCACGTCACTGTACATTCGCTCTTAGTGCTCAGCTGCTGTAGCCTGGTTAAAACCAGACCATTCTCAGTTGTAACTGAGTTATGGTCTGGCAAAGCGTCATAGACAAATCATTTCCAGAGGGGCGTCACCAACGGACGTTGTGGATAGAGCTAAAACCAATCAGAGCGATGAAGGAGATGACGTATGCAGAGCGGCGGAGAAATGTTTCTCCGAGTGTTGTTATTTGCTCGATGTTTAACAAAAAGGAAACGTTCAAAACGCTTAAAACAGACGCGATAGCTGATTTGAACGAGTGATGTTCGACGGCGGCATCCATCTTTGTAATGTAGGCTAAAATCTGCTTCAAAATCCCAGCGCTGTGTCATCGTGTAAAGCCCGCCCCAACGTTTCTGATTGGTGCCTCGATTTCGACAGATTGGAAATGGGCTTGAATGAGCTCTTTGCCAGACTAACTTTCAGAGCAAATCTAAATTTGCCGGAAGTTGTCTGGGTTTTCCCCGGCTACAGCTGCTGCAGAGTGTGCCGAAATCAAAATTGCTGATGAGATATAGAGGAAAAGATCTAGTGGAAAATGAGAATATTACGAAAATACCCCCCCCCCATATCAACGTCCATCGCGATGTTTCACTGTAGACATCGTCTGATGCCAAATTGGTAGACATCGCCCCAACCCTAGTTCTTTCAATGTTTCATCATCGGACTCGCGCTCGGATTGATATGGTAAAATCGACGTCATTGTTCGTTACTGTGTTTAGTTTACGGTGTAGGAAGCCTCAGGACAGCTGACGTTGTAATGTCAATGGCCGTTTTTGTTTTCGATGCGCGTGCTGTACACGGTAGACCAATCACAACAGACTGAGCCGTCTGGCCAATCAGAGCAGAGTAGCTCGCGGAAAGGAGGGATTTAGAGAGATTGATTCATCTGACGAGTTATTTGAGAGTCAATAAAAATGTGATGTGCAAATGTATATTATGATAAAATGAAACAGTTTTTTGACCTTTGATGCATGTAAACCTGTTGTAGGAGACTCCAAAACAACATTAGGAAACTTTAAAATAGCATAATAGGGGCAATTTAACAAATAATCAAGCAGCTCTACTTTAAAGAATATTATTCATGGAAATATACCCGAATTAATTTATCCCAGCAGCTACGAAACGTTGTTGAAGAATATTACCCTTCATCTTTGCTTGTATTTTGAGTGCTAAATAATAATAATAATAATAATAATTCATTACATTTATATAGCGCTTTTCTAGGCACTCAAAGCGCTTCACATGGAAGGGGGGAATCTCCTCAACCACCACCAATGTGCAGCATCCACTTGGATGATGCGACGGCAGCCATATTGCGCCAGAACGCTCACTACACACCAGCTTACTGGTGGAGAGGAGACAGAGTGATGAAGCCAATCAGTGTATATATATATATATATATAGGGATGATTAGGAGGCCACGATGGACAGAGGCCACTGGGCAAATTTGGCCAGGATGCCGGGGTTACACCCCTACTCTTTCGAAAGACATCCTGGGATTTTTAATGACCACACAGAGTCAGGACCTCGGTTTAACGTCTCATCCGAAGGACGGTGCTCTTTGACAGTATAGTGCTGCCAGACTATTATGGTACTCTACTATATAAATGTGACTTTTCCTAACCAATACCTGCTTCTGTTCTTTCTTACCTCATTACTTTACTGTTTAATCCCACACAAACAGGTTTCGTAACTAAAAATAAACAGTATGTCATGTTCAATGATATCATTTTGCTTGACCAAGTATTTTTTGATCCAGTGCAAGTGTGCAGCAAATAATGAAAGTGTGAACATCCTGCATTCTTACTCTTCTGTTATTCCACAGTGGAAGCCGCTCGTCAAAGACGTTTAAACCGAAGAAGAACATTCCCGAGGGCTCGCACCAGTACGAGCTCCTGAAGCATGCAGAGGCCACTCTGGGCAGCGGGAACCTGCGCATGGCCGTCATGCTGCCCGATGGAGAAGATCTCAATGAATGGGTGGCAGTCAACAGTAAGCATGTGACTTTAATCTAGGGATTTTTTTTTTTTTTTTTTTTTGCTGCATCAGTGTGTGTGTTAAAAAAACTGCAGTGATTATAAAAGTTGTTTATGTTTGTCCTCTTCTTAATTGTAAGTAGGTCTGTAGAGTTAAAAATAAATTTCATTTAAGAACTACATACCTATAAAAGTATGGGATGTATATATGTCATTATTATTGTTCTTCTCTCTAATGAATAATGTGAATAGCCTAATGATGTAGACATGTCATCATGCATCATTCCTTCTAATAGCATCTCAGACAAATGTGTCTGTCACATTCAGTATTGTGGCCTCAAAGAAGTAGCTCCTAAATATCAAAATTTTTTCCCTTAAAGGTTTAGTTCACCCAAAAATGAAAATGATCCCATAATTGTAACTTTATAAATTGTAACTCTGCTGGTTGTCAATACGTAATGCTTCGGTTCAGAGTTCACTCTCACTTTTCGGCCAGAACTCGTTACCGGAAGCCTGTGATTATAGTTTATAAAGTTATAAATATGGATTTTTTTTTTTCGCTTCACTTCAGAAGGCCTTTATTAACCCTCTGGGGACGGATTGGGCGGTACCGCCCAAAATGGCATACTTTTACAAATGTGTAATTATCTTAAAAACTATTAATGATAGAGAGCTGCGGTCTTTTTTACCGTCTTCCTCAGATTCCGCTGAAAACAGTGATACCCGGCTTTGTAAATATACACACTTCCTTGTTGCGCAATACCACTATGTAAAAGGCCAATGAAATCGATGTTGTTTGGCAGATTCCGCGAACAACAACCAATTGAAAAATTGCCGATGGAGAAATATGTTTCTTACCCAATCAGAGGAAGGTTACCATGACCTTTCTAGCAAATCAGAGGACTCTATAGCTTTGCAAGGGGTGGTACTATATAGTTAGGGATATGACGCAAACAGCGTTGAATGGAGAGAAGGAGAGAGAGCGAACGGAGGCTTACGGAGCGGATTATCAGAGATTTATATGAGAGAGAGAGAGACAGAACAATTATAAAATATATATTTATATACACATACATACAATTATAGCATTATTTATTGTTTTAGCACTTTTATGATGGCAAGCAGTCAACGATTTACGGTGGAACAAGCTCTGGAACAATTACTGGAGAGTGACGAGGAGAAAGCATTGCTTAGAAAATTCTAAGCATTCCTAAGAAAAACACCTGGGACTATTTGTAAATAGTTACATTTTTCATTGTTCTTTACACATTTTATTTAACAATTACACATGTCTGTCAAGCAAAGGCTTTGACAAATATATTTTTTGTTCAAAAACTGTTCACTATTTTTGTGTGATGTGTGATTTTCAGAAATAAATGAAAAAAATCTAATTTCCGTTTTTGAAATTCTCTAGTTTATAGTACATTTTTCACTCATACTTCCTTTATAAACACATTACATGCATGCTTACGTTATCTTAGGGTCTTCTGAATCCATAGATACCAAACACATAGTGATCCATCTCCATTACATATGGTTTATAAGCCCAAATGTAAAAATAGAGAAAACGGACCAAAAAGGACTTAGTCCCCAGAGGGTTAACCCCCTGGATTACATTTATGATGGATGGATGCTCTATTTGGGCTTTAAAAAAATGGTACCATTCACTCCCATTATAAAGCTTGGAAGAGCCAGGGTATTTTTATTTTATTTTTATATATATATATAATTACGATTGTGTTTGGCTGAAAGAAGAAAGTCATATACACCTAGGATGGCTTGAAGTTGAGGTGAAGTTCATTTTTGGGTGAATAACCCTCTAATATTAAAAATGTTGTTTTCACAAATTTCCTATGTGTACATATCGGTACATGTGCTAAAATCTCGGATTTCAAAACTCTTTAAAATAGGTACAGTCAAAATCAGTGACTCGTGTGTTTAAATGGATCTTCCCAGTTATCAATTTTATAAGGCCTGTTTGTAGGTCAGTTTTGCAACATTTCAGAGGCAGTTGCTTGGATCCATTCAAGGCCTCTGGCCTCCTTCTATTTTTAACAATAAAGGCAGTGGAGTTTTCTTAGGTTGTTAGCCTCATGGACAGAGGGCTGAATACAGACTCTGGCAGCGCTGATGTTGCTAGGGTTTAGGGTTTCATCTAATTACTGCAGCTCATGAAATATTGGGTGTACCGAACTTCTGTTATAAAATTACAGCAGGGTTTCCAAAACCCCTTGAGGTTTGTGATGGAACTGCATAGGGTAGATATTTATTTTGTTATTGTTTAGAACAAAATATTATTCATTTCCGACCGTAGGTTTTTTTAAATGTTTTAAGATGCTGGCATGAGTTTGTACTATAATGCTGTTTCATGTGCTTGTAGCTGTGGACTTCTTTAACCAGATCAACATGTTGTATGGAACCATCACAGACTTCTGCACTGAGGAAAGCTGCCCACTAATGTCTGCTGGGCCTAAGTAAGTATTAACAGGGATTTATCATGTGAAATATTTTGAGCATTACACTACTATTCAAAAGTTGTTGTTTTTTTGTGTGTTTTTTTGTTTACGTTTTTGAATGAAGTCTCTTGTGCTCACGAAGGTTGTGAGCATAAGGAAATTCACTTTTGAATGGTAATTACAGATTAAAGTACAGCAGTGTTGCATTAAAAAAAAAAAATTTTTTAGTAACGTAGTTACACGTTACTACATGTACTTACTATAGTAATAACAGTAGCTAACCCTAAACCAAACCCTAATCGTAACTCTATAAAAAGTGCATGTAGTTAACTAATATCACTCTTGTAATTACATTGTAACTACATCACAAGTGTAACCATATTTCTTTTAATTAGTTTTTTGTGTGTTGTCTGCAGGTATGAATATCACTGGGCTGATGGAACCAACATAAAAAAACCAATAAAATGTTCAGCTCCAAAGTACATTGATTACTTGATGACTTGGGTCCAAGATCAACTTGATGATGAGACACTTTTCCCTTCAAAAATAGGTGTGCTACTCCTTTGATTTATTGTGCATGATATAGAAATTTAGCATGCTTTTTTTTCTTTGTATAGCTCCTCATGATCAAGGAGGGAACTGTCCACACGGTGGCGCTTTTAAAACATCATCAAAACATGCTTTAAACAATTCAGTCTTCTCAAGGAACCTAGTTACCACATCCACAACATAATTATATTCTGCCATATTCATTTTTCGACCATTTCCTTTTGCTTGGATTCTCAAGTGCCCCTATTATGCTCTTTTAAAGGTTCCTAATTTTGTTTTGAAGGTCTCCTACAATAGGTTTACTTGCATCGAAGGTCAAAAAGCACTTTAATTTTCTCATAATATACATTGCAGCATCACCTCTTTTCTCACAGTGTCTGAGACAGTTAGATAAAATGAAACGACCACTTCCATATTTGAATTTCAGCTCTGGAGGCTTGTAGTGATACGAACAGTAATGATGGCGTCAGTTTTACCGTATTAATTCGAGCCAGAGTCCTCATCCTTTGGAAGTGCATGCAAGATGGACTTGCTTTCGCAGCACAGAAAATGGCGTCTTCTTGACAAGTGACAACACAAACCAAACTTGTCCATGCCTCAGCTACAACTACAGGGCAGGTCAAAGTAAACGTTGTTCGCAGGCAGCCAATGAAGACCATAGGCTGCCGCTGACATTATGCAAATTTGTTTCAAACCTACGTAGGTTTGTGCAGAAAGTAAGGACTTTTTACATTCACAAACAACTATATTTACACACTACATGTAAGGTAATGTCAGAAAAAAAATGCATAAGAGGGTCATTTTAAAGTAGTTTTTCTGTGTGACATTTATAGGGGTCCCTTTCCCAAAGAACTTCATGTCGGTGGCCAAGACCATTTTGAAGAGACTCTTCCGTGTTTACGCTCACATCTACCACCAGCACTTTGACTCTGTTATCCAGCTGCAGGAGGAGGCGCACCTCAACACCTCTTTCAAGCACTTTATCTTCTTTGTTCAGGTGTGTACTTGTCATTGAGGTGTGTGAGTTAGTGTTTGCCTGGGTGGTTTGGCTTATCATAAGCAGATGAATATGATGTTTTACAGGACCAACTTAAATTAAAACACCTCTCTCTCTCTCTACTTTTTTTTTTCAGGAGTTTAATTTGATTGATCGTAAAGAACTAGCACCCCTTCAGGAGCTGATTGAGAAGCTCACATCCAAGGACAGATAAATCTGCTCTTTCTATCAGCATCTTCTCTAGTTTCTGTGTACAGGCAGCCTGGCTTTGTTCTCTCTGTGTTTGACAGGTGTGTGGGAATGTTTTCCTTTGAGAGTTACCAAAAGGCGGACTCCAAAAAAGCCCTTGATAAGCCACAGCTCAACTATAGGTCAAGGTTATAGTGGAATTATACTGTAGTCCTTTTGACGTCGTCTCAAACACAATCTAAGTGCCTGATACGTCCACTTTCAAAATTGCTAGCGTTTGTATAAAAAGCACTACCATTGCTATAAAACTTGCTTTCGACTTTATTTTAGGAGTACATAATAATTAGCGGTTTGTTAGTTTTTTTCCTCTTAATGGATTTATTTAGAAGTTCATAGATTTAAAAATACTGAATGAAGCATTCATAGATTTTTCACGGAGATGAAGATAAATATTTAAGTCTTAGCTTCTCTTAAGTGCTCATTTTAACTGCTCCCTGTGTCTAATGACGTATTTGGGATTTCCGTTATCAGTTTCCGTAGTAGTTGAATTGAGATTTTATCCAGCCCTCAGTGAATCTTTCCTTATTGTTACACATTTCACTCATTAACGAAGAACACTGGGCCTCTCAGTTGGCCTCCCAATGCTTTTATACCACTACATTACTTTTGAATAAGGAGGCTACTTGTTGTTGAGCCAGTTTTACAGATTCACTCCCAGAGGTCAGGGGTTTGTCTGTTGGAAGATGGGATGAATGAGCTGACTATGCAAGATCAGTATGTACTATTAAATCTAATTTTCTCATACAAATACACCTTTTACATTCTTTTGCAGATTCTGTTCACAGATGTGGACATTATAGACGCCTTTAAAAAAAAAAAAGTATCTTTTTAATGTGAAGGATACATTTTCAATCTTAATTTTTACTCCTCCCAGTCTGTATTAGTGTTTCAAAGATCCAAATGAAAAAATCTTTAAATTAAAACAAGATAAGTTATGAGGTGGTTTGCAAAATTTGAATAAAATCTATGACAGATTGATTCAAACTTGATGCTAGTTTAATAACACACAACAATAATATTGCTGACAAGATAGTTGGTGGTCCTTACTATAATTTAAGCAGTGCATACGTTTGGTCTTAATGAAGTTTCACCCCATGAATGTTTATTTTTGTGAATGTTACAAAAAATGTGTTGCTCTGAATAACACACAGCTAAAATGTTTCTCAGAGATTTTCACATCACTTCATTTTAGAACAGTATGAGATTGATTATAGACAAATGTGATAAACATTTTGATGGCAAGTTGTAAATACTGTAAACAGAAAAGGTATGCAATTGGAATAACATGAGATGTCACTTGCTGAACTTTTGTGGTACAATGCTGAATACTGTTTATAGGGAAATAAACCCGTTTGAACAAAATCTGGATTTGTGTTTTTGGTTTTGTTAATAATATGAGCATCAGTATGTATTTGTTTTTTCATTAATGAATTATACTAGCTATTACTATTACTAAACATATTTAGAATAAAAAAAAAAAACTTTACAACAATATATGCATATACGTGAAACAGATTTTTTTTTGTACCCACTTCATACATAAAAAGGGTCTTGGTGAGATCCAGTTCCTTCAAATCAAAATTCTTTACATAAAGTGTACTCATTATTTTAATACAAGTCTGGCCTTTCCCATAACCCCTCCTTTAATCAAAGAAATATTTTAAAAAGGAAGGAGCACATTGTCATGCGTTTGGGTGTGATATAATCTGTCGTCTGGAGATATCAATTTTAACTTGTCAGTCAACTTAGTCATATGTGATCATGATTTGGTTGGTCCCTCAGGTTTCCAGTGTTAATTTTCTTGTCCTGAATGATGTTTGTTGAAATGAGACAAACACAATCATCAATCACAAACCCCATGAGCCAATATCAACCAATTACAATTAGAAAGTTACTCCAGGTGTGTATCTGAGGATTTAGAGACATTTGCAGTCATCTTTTTCATCAGTTTCTATTGAGTTCTTTCACCTTTTGAGCACTTTTTGAGAGGACTGTGAGCTCCCTGCACTTAAAAATAGAGGTTCTACATTGCATCTATCTAGAGTTCCATGAAAAACATTTAACTGGTAAATACTGGGTAAGAAAAATTGTGAGATAGTTAAAATGTTCCTCTCACACTAGGGACAAAAGGTTCCTTTAAGAACTGTGCACTGAAAGGTTCTTTGGGGAACACAAAATAGTTCTTCTATGGCATCGCTGTGAAAACCCTCTTTTGGAAACTTTATTTTTAAGATTGTGTCAGTAGGCCTACTTCATTTCTAAAGCCAGGTGACATCGGCACTCAGATTCAGGGAAGTCAAGGTTGTTTTAAACCGTAACCTGCTTTAAAGATGTCCAGACAGTAGTTCTTGGCATTTGACATGAGTAGGGATCTCCTGATCATGTTCTTCCTCCATTTAAATCCTCTTTGGGCCTCACTCTCAATGGGCACTTTATCTTATCCAACTTTCTGTTTTAAAACGGCACGACAGTGGCTTGAGCAGTGTAGATAAATGGGGATCTACTTCTAAAAGCAGTTATAAAAATGAACATGACCTTTTGAACGATCAGCGACCGCAAACGCACACCATGGGTATCGTCTCAGAAAGCACCAGAAAACTCCAGAAAATTTGATCATCCCTGAAAGTAAACACTTGTATTCTAGATTTTGGACGCAAACCTACAGCTGCAGACATAAAAGCTCACAGAAGAGGGAGACAAAACATCTTTGACTGAAAGCTGAATCGTTGAACTGCATCTCCTGACTGGCCTCACGCTAACGCTGAATTCACACAACGTTCAGTAAAAAGACAGAAGTAGCTACGAGAACACAAAGACTATCTACCGTAATATCTTTCCCAGAGTTGCTTTTGTTTATAAAGGTCAGAGATTTCAATGGACCTGATTGTTAAAGGTTGATTTAATAATAAGAATAATCTGATTCTTTCACTTTCTTAAAGTTTTGTTTGAAAAGATTGGGTTAGTCTTAATATCACCTGATATATATGACAAGCTCTGTAATATCATCAAGAATTAATGGAATCATATGTTGTTCTGACATGTGAGTTGTATTAGGTGGAACCAATTATAGGCCTAGCCCAGAGCTTGTCTTGTTTGCAGTTGAAAATCAAGACTGAATTTCCATTTTCATATAGTCTTTCCTCGCTTGGTAATTGTATTGTGCAAATGTCCCCATTGCTAAATAGCCTACTGTGATTTCTCAAATGTTACATGTCTGCAGTATTACTGGAAGTAAGTGTTTGTCATCCATATCTCATATACTCTGCGTTGATTGAAATAGCTTATGCACTTGTCTCCTGAGCTTTTGATTTATTATTCACCTCTGAGCGACTTCATTCAGTCTGTTCCTTTAATTTATTCCCTGAAGGTTTGATTCCATGCCATCTTGCTGCCTTATTTAAAAAGCCATATTGCAGAGCCTTATAATAATAATAATAATAATTTGTAATCTTTTTTTTATGCCCAACTGATGTGCCGCTTGCGTAAGGATGCCATTATTTAATATCCAGGACTCCCATCGTTCACAGCAGTTTAATGCATTCCGTTTACTTTGACAACTAAAAATATTTTGGTTGATCTTCATTGAATCACATGACTCCTGTATGTCTGTCTCTAACCAATTATCAAGAACAAGTGAATACAACAACAAACCTACATTTATTTTATCTAGGAATGATTACTACAGTATAGTCACATAGGCCTACTTTTCGAAATTTTGCAGTTGGTTATGTTTTTTGAAAGAAGGTTGATTTGATCAAAAGTACTTATTCAAAAGTAAAATATTACTGAAAATATTTGTTTTCACATGATACTTTAGAATAATTCTGAAATGCTGATTTGCTTCTCAAGAAACATTTTTTGATTATTATCAATGTTCAAAACAGTTCTGCTGCTTAATATTTTGTAGACACCATGATACTTAAACAAATTGTATCTTGATTCTTTGATGGATAGAACATTCAAAATAATTTATTTAAAATGGAAATCTTTTGTAACATTATAAATGTCTTTATTGGCACGTTTGAATGCATCCTCGCTTTTGAGTGGTAATGTATATTTTTTAGTCAAGGTGTGTCGAAAGTTGTTTTAGTTTAGCACACAGAAGACATAACACTTAAGATTAGATGAACCTTTGGATCAGTCATACTGTTTGAAAATAAATGCACAAAACAAGACATGGATCCTCCTTTTTGCCAGCAGCACAATGAGTAGACTGTCATGAGTAAAGAAGTTCATTAGTCCCTATTAGGCCTCACTCTGAGTAGTACTGGTTGGCATTTTCATTTCATTTCATTTTCTTGTTCTCAGTGAGTGATGAGAAATGATACCACTCTTGCCACATCCTTGAATGTGACAGCTAGGTCTTCCACCCACTGTAAGTACTTGAGCTGGGTTTGCTGACTTTCACACAGACGGAACATAATACCTCGGCTGTTTTCTCAGGAATCGAGCTTGACTGGAACGGATCTGTTCAAGTGCAAATCATGATAAAAATGCCTCGTCCTTATCAACAAATCTCTGCAAAGATGGCCCATTTTTGTTCTCTCTGTGATAATGAAAGCAGGAGTTATTATGGGATGGGAGAACGCTGATGTTCTGATGGCAAATAGGGCTATTTCGGCTTACAGATTGTAGTTATTTGTAAATACCCTCATACATAATATATTTTGCCCTCCTGTTTTAAAAAATATTCTCATTTATAATTCATCTGATATATTCTAAACATAATAATCCATATTTAAAGTAAACTTTCAGCAACCAAAAGAACACTACAATCTGGCAAGTAACCAACCGGTAGAGCACATAAACACTGTGAGGTGATATGCAGCGGTATGACGACAGATTGACAATGCATCTGGATGACTAGACATTCAAATGACTAGACCATGACTATATCACATAAAGCTTTAAATGCTTGTGTAAACTAAAGTGGACACATAAATCATTTTAACAATAGAACTCTGGAGTACTGTGCACAGTGGCACAGTACTCATTCAGTACTTCAGAATGATTGCCACATGAACTATTGTCCATGTGTGGCAATCATTCTGAATGTATGTAGTCATTGCGGTTACTGATGTCTGTTGAGATTTGACTTTATGAATAAGACCATACATTTAGTTTATGAGAACTATAGGGTCAAACCCTTTGTCTTAACATGCCTGGAAATACAATGTCACAGTGAGTGACATTGTAATTACTCACCCTCATGTTGTTCCAACCCCGTAAGACTTCCGTTCATCTTTGGAACACAAATTAAGATATTTTTGATGAAATCTGAGAGCTGGCTCACACCTCCATAGGCTTCTAAGGGATCGAATCTTGCCGGCCCAGAAAAGTTATTAATAAATACATTTTTGTTTAAAAATGCTTTTTTTTGTTTTGCGTTCATTTTAACTGGTCAAAAATAGCACATCAGTCCTATAGAGCTCCTCCTGTCCGATTTTAGGGAAAAATTGGGTCCATCCATTGGACGTGTCCGATGGACCCAATTTTTCCCTAAAATCGGACAGGAGGAGCTCTAGGACAGACCTCGGGTTCACTGCCCCATCAGTCCGCACCCCAAAAAAACCCCCATTTGTTCGGAAGCTCTAGGAGTAGAGTCAATCCAGTCCACACCCCACAGAACCTTGAGTTTAATCACACATCAAACTCACTATTCCACCAAAGACCCAGACCATCAGCATTTTTTCATCTTTCAATTTCCCCAATTAAGTGGTTTATGTTTCTCTCTTACCCAATTCTCAGTGCCATTTGAGTTTAGAATCAAAAGGAGGATGCAGAAATAAAATACAGTGTAATCAGTCGGATGCACAGTGGCACAGTACTCATTCAGTACTCATTCAAATCCAGACTCAAAACACAGCTAAACAGATGTGTTTTGAGTCTGGATTTGAATGTGACTACTGTAGGAGCACATCTGATCTCCTCTGGAAGCTGGTTCCAGCTGCGGCTGGCATAATAG